TTTGCTGTGAGCGAGCTCTACGGTCGGGATAAATGGCCTGCCGTCCCTTCAAGAAAGCGTCGAGAGGTAAGATCAAACATTCAACAGTTTAAGAAAGTGGTATCTGATGGTTTTGAATTGAAATAAGGAATTTCTTTCGCTAATATTGTAAAAACAATAAAATTTGATTCTTTCATACATGAACAGTGCTTCACCTCTCCGAAGGAGAGGTGAAGCACTGGTCTTCTATATAGCTGTTGTCTTTTATACATTTGTATATCTATTAGTTCTTTATTTGTCTCAAATAGCCACCATTTAAACAGCAAACACAATCAATCAGGTGGCAATAAATGACAATTGCCAAAAAAGATCTTAGAGGTAGATTTTTACTGGACGTTGTCTTATGCGCTTATACTGTAGCAATAATGTGCGCGCCCGTTATGGCCTACCACCTCAGATGCGGACGTGACACTGAGTGTTGCACTGCAAAGTAAAGTGGAGGTTTCTCAGGTTTTCTGAGCTGAAAAGAAGTACGACGTTTGTGGCTTTCTGACGTCCAGCTGAGAACAGATTTTGTTAAACGTGACAGTCTGAAGTCAGTCGTTAGGTATTTGTGGTCCAGATGGGAAGATTATCTATGGTGAAAGCTTAGTACGTTTTGGCAAGACCCCTATTTCGGGAAAAGTTTTTTAGCCTGCACAGCATATAAGAGAAGAAGGAGCTACGCTAAATTCCATCCCCAGCTTCGGATAGCATCAAGAGACTCAGTTGCACAGGAGATATTGATATCAGACCAGAAAGGCGTATCGGCGCTTCCCGTGGATATCTTACGCACTTCTCTTACAAAGCTACGACAGTCTCCATCAACGCCAATTTTCACACCCTTCTCCAATCCCCAATGAGCATCGGCCACCATGCAATTGCCCTGCAGGAGACGAAGACCAGGATACATACAAAATATTACCATCATCCTGTCGCTCTACAAATTCAGCAGCTGATGAATCGGATCTGGATGATCTTTGCGGGGATTTGGTGAGGAGCCATCCGCACAGACAATTCGGGTTGTTGAATGCAATGCGGAAATTTGGATCCAGAAGAAGAGGAATATCATCAATACTTATAAAAAGCGCTAAGTTCCGCATTTGTGTGTGTTACTCTGTCTATCACGAAATTCATTTGTCCTAAGAAAGTAAGAGCAGTTATCAATCGTTATCATGTTAACTGCAAAACACTAAGTAAACAAGGGCTTGCGAAAACGTGACAAACTGGTTGTTCATCTCGCGTTGCTATAGAGAAGGCAGCAGTGGGGTTAGATATCCTTTCTGCCTTTTTCCTTTAAAAAAAGTGAGATTAAACTTTCAACACTTTCGTAGAGAAGTGTATGTGATAGTTTTGGATTAAATTAAGAGAATTTCTTCGCTAAGATTGTAGAAAAACCAAGAAATTCGATTCTTTAACACAAGAACAGTGCAAACCTCTCCGAAGGAGAAGTGAAGCACTGGTAAATACATA